GACATATCTTTCATAGAAACTTTCCAATAATATCCATAAAATAATATGATAAGAATAGGTTTTGACAATGAAAAGTTTGTTGATCAAAGTGGGCAGATAAAATGAAGGAAGAAAGGGAACCTGTGTTCAACTTATAAAATTGCTTTAATGATAGATCTTTGAAGCTTGAATCAATTGAAGTTCTCTTTCAAAATGCTCAACCTGCATATAACCCTTCTTTTTATGTGTTAACCTACTTTTTCCATTTTTAGTGTAGCTGTTTTCATATTGAAAACTTCATAGAAGCTATGAGAACATGATGTCCTATATGCCTGTACCCCGACCATTTAGGAAAATTTCGAGTAAGATGAATCAGTGTGATAGCTCCTTTGGGTTGGTATTATTTTTTTTATTTTTTGATTTTTCTATTGCTCTAGTGATTAAAATTTCAGGCAATGAGTTAAACCAATGTATTACTAGACTAGCAGTCAATCATATAACTATCACTTCAAACATCATTTAAGAAGTTCTATTTTTTTATTATTTATATAGCTCCATAGTTCATGGTGCTACATAGAACAAATTAAAGACAGATTCCCTGCCCCCTAAGAGCTTACAGTCTAGGCAAGTACAAGAACAACAGGAGAAGATAACACAAGCAGGGGACAGAGAGGGGTAGTAAATGAAAAGAAGGACAATTAGATTACAGTCACAAGAAAAGCTGAAGTGTTTATCTTGGAGGATACAAACTGGGGAGATGAGGTGCTTGAATAACTTTATTTTTAATTAGTACTACATTTTACTGGAAAGCCAGAAGAAAAGGATTTCGAAATTAAATTTGAAAGTGTCAGAGGTGCTTGTAAGGAGGCAGAGAGGCAAGACTGGAAGGGAACAGGTTGCTAACATATTTTGGTTGGAAAGCAATGATCTTGGATGTCAGATGAGTCAACCTCAGTGACCCTTTCTTTCCCTTCATGTCTGAAAGTATGACAAAAAGCACAATTGATCCTGTACACCCAAACACAGGCTAGTATCTTATTTTGCCATTCATATTGTATCAGCACATATTTGGGGGCGTATTGGACAAAATCTTGATTCTTCTGAAGTAGGACTTTTGACAATTTTTTTCAAAGTAGTCAGCATTTCAATCATATTTTGTGATTGTTGATATATTTGGAGATTCTAATGTTTTTGAAGACTAAGTGAAGTTGTGTCGAAAGTACTTTAAATACTTTTCTGATGTCCTTAATATAATAATAATTACAAAATAATGTTATGACATTATATTTTAGCTTTTTGTATGCTGTTACCTCTGCTCATGACCTCTTCCCTGAAAACATTTTGATTTTGTAGAATATCATGGTATTTCTCTTCTACTTGAGGCTTTGGATTGTGGTAGAGGTTTTTTCTTCATAAATTACTTCTTTTCCATTTTGAAATATTAACTAGTTACTGTAGTACAGCTAAACATTGTTATTTTGTTGTTGTTTTTTTTTTTGAAGACTCTGTGAAAGAAGTCAAGAAGGGTTAATGCACAGAGCCATACGAACATGAAAGAAAAGTTTCCTTCCAACCTATAATGAATTCTTCAACTGAAAATTGAGATAGAAACTCCAGAAAGAAATCTCCTATAGAAAACCTGCCAGATACTCCCTGGTTATGTTTGTATTTATATTTGTATAACAGGAGAAAATTATGTAATGGCCTGCTGATGTCTATAATTGGTAAAATTCTCATTTACTGTAAAGCAACACATATCTCTTGAACTCAGCCAAATATTTGGCTCAGGATTTTCACTAACAGTCCTTCACAAATTACATTTTTTTTTGTCATTTATTTGGTAATATCCACAGTTATCTATTGCTATATAACCATGCTGAGACAATCTGAAGGTCTAAAATTGTGTGTGTTTTTGAGTCTGAAAGATTATAGACGTCTATCTTCCTTAAAACAGGTACAGGGGAAAAAAAAAAAAAAAAAAAAAAAAAAAACCACACAAAACAAAACAAACCCACCTGTTCAGTTTTTACCTCCAATTGCCATCCACCAGGTAGCACCATATAAAGAGTTGTAACTGCTCTAAATACCTTCTCTAAGGTGACGTTCAAGGTCAGTCAGAGAAGCACCTATCATCCTGTCCTGGGAAATCAACAGACTAATTGAGCTTTCATATAGAACCACATGAAGCAGTTATGAACAGATTCTGAAACTTCATGGGCCAGATATTCACTTAATTTTAGCTGGTGTGGTTCCAGTGACTTTAGTGATACTATAGAAATTCATGCTACGTGACCATTTGGTACTTTGGGACTAGTCACTCAGAGGTTTTTCAAAATGAGGAAGTTTTCTTCAGAATTGAGGAGTTCCTTCACAGCAGTGAAGGGAAAATGAATCATTGAGCTTTTTGAAGTACAAAACTACAAGTAGTATTTTCTACTACTTTGGAGGTCAACTCTTAGTCATTTTTCCTTAAGTGTCTTAATTTTCTGTGAAAAATACAGAAATAATTACTAATGCACAGTGAAGTAACAGTATGAATTAGTGTATGATTTTTTTAAAAAAAGCCATTATTCTACTATGAATCTGTGGAGCCATGCATTTCTTAAATACAAATCTCCAGTTACTTTGCATATTTCCCTTACTAATGGAAGGCTGAAATTTTCACTGAAATTTTAAGCCACACTACTTCTGTGTTAATATTTTTGTTTTGGGGGGGACTTTGACTCAATAAAACATTCGGGACGTACTTGCATTCACACTTACTTTGGCTCACATAAAGCTTAATGAGAATTAGTCATGTGCATCAAGGTGAGAATAGAATCCTGCTTACTTCAACACCCTTAATGGAGAAAGGAACAGTTTGTTTAAATATAATACATCATTTTATTACATGATTTTACAAATTTTATTGTAAATCATCAATCAAATGCAATAGCCAATTTTTTTTCCATTCAAAACCATCCTAATTAGGAGTTTTCATTGTTTTGTATGACAGTTATTTTCTTCCCTTTTGTATTTAAAATAATTAACTTAATTGAAATATGTATTTTTGTAAGTATACTCATTTTCAGAATCTTTGCTGAAGGTGTTTTTAACTTGTTTATACTTCAGGCAAAGATAATCTGTTCTTTGTTATCACATAAACGGGGATGAAACTCTCACAAATATAATTTGCTCTCTCAGTCCCTGTTCACAATGGAAATGGCCAGCTCAGTCTCTATGAAGATTTATGAGAACTAGGTAGTAGACACAAACCTCCCCTTTCGCCCCAGATTTCATTATATAATTGCTACACTTTGAATGCTATGCTGCTGTGCTAGAAAGACTATAACATTAAATTGAGCCCCAATAAATAAATGATCTCTTACTCACCAATGACTGATTATCTCTGACAATCTTAACTCTTTTTTTAATTAATAAATTTTTTTCTATACAAAGACCATCTTCATTATCTTCTTGGTTGACATAACATTCCTACATAGCCCATCCTATATGCTTTTTTACTGAGATACAGATAATTTTACAGTAGATGGAGGTGCAAGATTCAGCATCTGTAGGGCAGTATTTCAAAACGTTATGTCTACGAACTCATCACTGACAGGACATATAAGTTAACTCTGAAGCAGCTAAGAGCCAGATCCTGCAAAACAACTTATCACAATGTGCATTACTGGCTTATCCTAGAAATCCCAGCAAACTATCTTGCCACACATTTAGTGGCAACAATCCGCAGGATAGAGCACTAAGCTGAGGCTAAGTACCAGTACTAGCACAAAGTATTGTACATATGTTGCTCAAATCGCACAGCAAAACCAAAACAACTAAAACTGACATAATTTTAATTTGTTTTGTTTTTTAATTCTGTGCATTGAATTCAAACAGCAAACTGAGTGCACTTTGACTGTTATCATGATGTGGTCAAGAGGTCTGTGTCTTTTACCATTTACACACAATTGTTCATGACAGCATGTTATCAGCCTAGTGGAAACCAGGGGTGTAGCATGGTAAGCAGTGGTGGTAGTGCACCTATTTTTTTTTATATTATCTAACTTGAAAATATGTCTCTTCTAAGATTCCTTTTTCTTGATAAAAATAGTTTTCACCAAACGTTGGTGGTGCACACGCACTACCATTCATGCTTGGCATCACACCCCTGAAAGAAACACATGTTCTTATTTTGTTGATAAAAAGTATTACAAAAATTTCCATACAAAAACTATTTTCATAGAAATCTTGCATTTCCACAAATGAACCTGAACATTTTTTTTTGAAAAAAAAAAAAAAAACAAAACTGCTCAAGAATTTTGTTCATTTAGTACTGTGACTGTATTGAAAAATGCAGTCCTCCTTAAAGTTCTCCACATTCACTTTTTTTACATGACCCATCCCACTTCCAATATTAGCGAGAATTGCACAGGCTCCATTGAGTTCAATTAGTAGCAGGAACAAGGGTTTCAAACTCATTCAGGCTAAAATGCAAGCCACTGCTTCCCACCCCCCTCCTTCTTCCCACAGTTAAAGAAAAAAAAGAAATTGTTTATATATAAAGGTTGTAAGATACATTCCTTTGTACTAAGGAAACTTTCATTCATCTAAAAATTGGGTCAAAATTAGGGAATTTTTGGTTTGTTTTTTTTTGTTGTTTTTTTTTTTTTTTCAATTTTTTTTTTTTTTTCAATTTTTTTTTTTTTTTCAATTTTTTTTTTTTTTTCAATTTTTTTTTTTTTTTCAATTTTTTTTTTTTTTTCAATTTTTTTTTTTTTTATTATTAATATTTATTTACTTAGTTCAGTGATACAGACAGTCCAAAAAGCAGGTGAGCATCCTCATATTTATCTTTCTATTCATGGGATTCATGTTTCTTCACTTCAACATTTCTCCCACCAGGAAGCTTATATCGCCTGTCCAGATGGTAATTTCAGTCTAACAGCAGTTACCAACTCTTCTACACTTGGAAGTTCAGAAGAACATATGGTTTCTTGTTCCACTACATTTCTGAGATGTTACTTATACTAGACTCCTTCTGTGGTTAGTATCATCTTGGACATGTATTCTCCATCTCCTGGCAACCGTTGAACTTCAAAAGGAACCTGTAATTTCTCACTGAGACTGCATTTGAAACCAGCCACAAAACTCACATGGAACATTCACTCATTCAGAATGGTGGAAACCCATGATGAACAGTGTACCCCGCATAACTTGGTTGATCCATGATGCATGTGATTCGAGTCTGGCCATTGCAACTGCTGAGATCACAGAGTCTCTAGTTCATAGACACAGCGGCATGAGGTAACTCATTTTATTTTGCACAGGTTGCATATTTCCACAGGAAACATTCTCGCAAGGTTGTTTGGAAAAAAGACGACAGTTTGTGCTTGGGGTATTTGGTTTCCCAGCTCTATGCCATGGTTTCTTTACCTGGCAACCTTCTGTCGTTAAATGTGTGCATGTTGATAACTTCTTCTGTTTTCACAATAACAGGGGCCTGTGGCTTGTGTTTTAATCGACGCTGACACTTCAGAGACATCCTTAGCTCTTCTACCATGGCACTACAGAAGGACCTCTACAGAAGGAAATAGAGGAAGAAGAAGAAAAAAAACCACATCTGTAAGAAATATCTAGCCGCAATATCTAGAAGCAGGTTCACTCTATTGGAACAAGCTGGTCCTGGAAGTTTGCTTTGTGTCAGCCTGGACTCATAAAAAAAGTCCTGTCTTTTAAATATGCATCACATAATAACTAGAATGACTTATCCAGCTGAGATGGCTCAGTAACAAAATCACCTTGTCTACATTTCAAACAGATGTGCTGTTAACATGGATTAGCCTTAGAAGATAGCATCTGAATGTAACATCTCTATTAGTTATTCAGTAAAAACTCCTAGCCCATATTTTAAAGCAGTAATTTAAATTAATTTCTATATGATTTATATAGCTAATCCTCAACAAAACAAGAAGACTTAGTATAGGAAGCCTACCTAAATTAATGTTTTAATACTGTTAAAATGCAGACTCATTACCGAAAACTAATATGTGCCCTGTTATTTTTAATATCTTCTTCATCTGAACACTTCTTCCAATACTGACCACCATTTGTGGAATATGTATTTGCAAAAACTATTCAGTTTAATTGATCTTTATGAAGACCATATTATCAGAAAAATAGTTTGTAAACATTTTTTGATCAAAAGCTAAAGTCACAAAGCATTTTTTCCATTTTGCCATTAAAAAAAAAATAAAAAGACAAAAAAAAAATTGAAAAGAAAACAAATTAAAATCTTCTTTGTTGCCTCAGTCTGACTAAATTCTGAACTGCTAATAGTGCACTGAGCAATTAGCCTCTCCTCGGTGTGAGAGTTGGAGTATGGATGAAATATGAAAGTAAGGAAGATGAGTCTTTTTTGGGGGGTTTGTAAATTAACTAACTTTATCATATACTTTGACTTAAGTATTTTCCAGCTAATGGAGAAATCTATTAACTAAATAATACATCCCAGAGCCTGAGTTGTTATGACAAGCCTCTGACAATTACTTTTACCCAAAACAAACTTGAAGTGTAATCTGGCCTGTCACATTTTGTTTTCTCAATAACCAGTTTCCAGGCCAAGGAGATGACTGGGGCAGGAAGGGATGAAAAAGAACCCAACAATACAGAGCACCTAGAATTACTGTAAATAGCTCTTGTTCATTGTTTGATTTCATGTGATTAGTGGTAAATCATCTGTTAATACATAATTTTCTAATCTGTCTCCAAAATTAAGAACTCTGCTTTATTTGTAAAGTGTTACATCTAGATTATTCATACAAACCTGGACTTTGGCGATCAGATTCTGAAAATATTTAAGTACCCCAACCTACCTAGTACTTTAGGAACCTAAATTGAAAGTGTGTTTATCAACATTTGCATTCAGATTCCAACCTCCAGGGCTGAAGACACTCTGTTCTACACGGTAAATTTATAGGTTTGTCATATGGTAATAATCAGCAGAAATTCTGCTAAAAACATTGGTGCTTGGCTTAGTCCTGGATCCCATCAGAATTCACACCCAAATTCTCCATGTGTAAGGTCATCAGTCCATTAGGTAAGCTCTGAAAGGGCCTAACAAAACTAGTTCATTAAAAAAAAGTAGCAACTGCTAAAGGACACGTAGCAGACATTACAGCTTTCTTCTGTGGCCATTCATCAGATGGAGCATTAGACCTGAATGTGTGACACATGTTAGGGTGCCAATACAATAGTATCTTCTGCTGGAAGAGATTTAAGCTTCAATGTCTCAGCAAAGGGCTGTAACTTTCAGGCATTAGAAAATTTCAAGGTAAAAATTGCAGTTTCCACCTACTGATCCTGTTCCATTTTGCAGGAAAGTAGTTAACAGAGGCAGAGTGGGAGAGAGGGAGAACATGGGCTGTCCGGTACTTTAGTGATTAGAGCACACGGTAGCAGAGGAAAGGTTTCAGTAGTAGTTCCTGTTTCAGTGACAATTCCAATATTTTCATGTAAATTTCTATTTAGTGCAAGAGTTTAAACAGAAATTGTCTCAGTTATGGGTTTGAACTGAACCTAGACCTCCCAAATACTGAGCACATGTCCTTTTCCCTAATCCTTTGCATGAGTAAGAGAATAGGCAAGTGGGAAGGAAAGGATAATCTTAGTCTGGCTGTGATACTTTTCCTTTCAAATATCCCTTCCTCCTGCTGAGTTTGAAATAAAGCAATTACATCTACTCAATTTATGATAGAAGTGCTTTAGCCACCTACAACTACAAAAAGTTTAAGTTGTGAATCCAAAGGAGAGGAAGGTATATCTCTGTGGGGCAGAGTCAAGCACAAGTCCTTAAGAAGCCAAAGTTCAAGACATTTCTCATTTCTGACTGGCATTTCTCTCTGGAGTGACTTCTGCAATGGAGTCTCATTAGCAATGCCTTTTTAAAATATTCCAGTGCACTGGGTCAACATCCAAAAGAGTTTATGGCTTTCATAGTGTGAATGAGGTGGCTAAAATTTCTAATTGAATGGTCTGAGCTGTAATGTGTCAGATCAGTCAAGCATAACATATCTTTGCTTAGCATTACGTAGAAAGCAGGAAACTGCACCTCCTTCTTATCTGGCTGGATTTTGAAAGAATACATTCAATTCTCTCAGACTTTCTGTTTTAAGAAAGCACTGTTGCTTAACATCAGAACCACAGTTATGATTATGAATCTGAAATTAATCCCAAAATCTTTCAAAGGGACAAGAATTAATTTAACATTCCCTAATAGCTTACAGGCTAAATTGCAAATTGTTGGCAAATCTTGGCATTTTCACTACATGTGGAACCTAGCATATAACTTAGGAATTTCATGGGGAGTCCATTAAGATAGAAATGCTGCAACTCTCAGGTTACACCACCTTCAGCTATTATATAACTCTTACCTCTGGAATCAAAGCTCTAATGAACATCTGGAGGAACAAAGTCCTTCTAAATTTAAAAAAAGACACATTACTACTTAACACTTTCAAGATTGTGTCCCTTGTCTTTTTTTGCCAAGACATCTAATAAGAGTGCCAAGTGAATCCTATTCAAGATGCATCAATCCACTAAAACCTTTTCCAAAGATCTGCAAAAACTTATCAAAGGGTACAAAACTTTTAGGAAATATTAGTAGGAACAAGATTGCAATAAAGAGCCAAAAGGTAAGAAGATAAATGTACATGATGCAAATATTGTGAAATATCCTGAAAATGAGATCTCAAGAAACCTGGCAACACATTTTATTTCAGATATTTACACTTATCTGAAAACTCATTAAATGAGAAATTTTAGTAAGACTGACAGTCTAAAAAAGGAAGCTAACAAAATTTTGAGATAATAATTTTATCCAGAAAATTCTTCCATTCTGTGTTTTCAAGTTATTTTTTATAAATTAAGTTCAGTGGAACTATATCTGCAGATATTATGCTAAAAATATTATTTAATTAAGATTTTATGCATACTATGTATTTTAAAATATAAAATGTCTGAAAACAGTAAACAATATTATCTCCCAGATAGTACCAATTGATTAGTAACTGAGCACAGAATAAGAGAAATATGACTTTTTTCTTTTTCCCCCAAATTTCACTCTGTGAAATAGTCATAGATTTTAAAAAGATTAATTCAAAGCTATGTAAAAGTTCATGACCTGGATCCTTATTCTTTTATTGGTTCTATCTGAGAAATATAAGGAAGAGTTTTCCAAGATATTGCAAAATAAATTTAAAAAAATGTTTACAAAGGATTACTTTATGGTTGACCTTTTTTTAAATAATTCTTCTCTTGTCTCATTTTAATTTCAATCTGTATAGAATCCATTTTCTACACAGTTCTTTGTGTTCTTCCAGTATTAGAACACTTTTTTTTTTTTTTTTTGGAATAATAAGACATGAAAAAAAGAAACAGCTCTAGAATGCTTTTGTGTGTGTGTGTGACAGATGAAAGACATTTTCAGATATGATTTTAGAGACTATAATCAAATATCTTGATCCTGAATTCAATTGCCCATTCAGATGGTTAGGGAAAAACACTGAAATGTTTACAGAACTCACAGGCTATAGTTCAAAACTGTTGTTCATCATGAAATGGAGCATTTTTAGTATATACTACAACCCTCTCTGGTTAATTCAAAGAAAATAACCTTTTACCCCCAACTTACCTTCCACACTGCAGGAATGTTACAAGAACATCAGTTGTTATTGATTTTTCACCAACCCTTACAAAAATTTGTTTTCTTAAATGTTACCAGAAACTAAATGCTGCCTCCAAGTCACCTTAGATATAATCAAATAGTAGAAAAGTTAAAGGCAGGCATACAGTTCTCTAAACAAGAGTACAGTTAAGTGCAACCCTTTTGTTGTAGCAAATTGCTATAAAACACTCAGGAAAAAAAGCTGCAGTTCTAAGTGGGGCATTTGAGTACAAAAGAAAATTTTAGTTGGAACTGTAGCTCTTATCCTTTTAATGCAAAGCAATTTTGGAAAAGCTTGTCTCCTTAAGAAGATAAAAAATTAACTGATACTTCTTTCATTTTTTGCCACAGCTAACAGCTCACAAGTCATGTAGAATCAAAATGATAATTTTACAAAATGTTACCACCGTTGCAGCGTATTTTGACGTCTTGTGTATGTATGATTTTACTGTCTGAGAAAAAAACGTATTTTTGCATGTGTGTATTGATATGAAAGACAGACAATATTTATATTGCTTTCATTATATTCCTTCATAGGAATTTAGAAAGGTAATTAGAAATCACATTAGCATTTGTTAGACATAGAATTACGAGGCTCACCACAGATCTTGATTTTAACATCCTAAAGAGAGCAACAAGAAGACAGGACTGGCATGCCTGTACCACTCTTAGCATTCTGTTCTAAGTGGATAATATTAAATGCACTTTAAGAATAAATATCTCAAATCACTTGCTGTTTTATGTTGTTTACCTTCTTTGATGCAGTTGATATAAAGTTGACTATCAATATTCAGTAAAAAACCTGTAAGATTTACTCAGAAATTCATTACCTCCAGTCTTGTGTGTCAGATATTATT